GTAGGGAAAAAAATTTAAACTTGATAGAATTTAGAAGTTACCTAACTGAACCCTAGAACAGATTCCAAATAGATCTCCTAACCATACGAGAAAAACGAAATCTTCAACGGTAACCCCAAACACTATCTCCACCGAAGCCTAGAACTTCAAGAACCAAGCTTCCACGACGAATCTTCCTCCACCTAATGTCATAACCCTAGATCTAAAATTTGAGCTCTGATACCAATTATTGCGCGCCTATGCGGAAGCGTGCTCTCACATCGAACGAGTCCGTGAGCCACAAGAGAAGATAATCAAACAAAACACGAGTACAATCCAATCCAAAATACGACAAATCAAACCAAATACAGAGATATACGTGGTTCAGCAATTTGCCTACGTCCACGTGGAGAAGATGAAGAGATTCCACTAAATCAAGGAGAGTACAAAGGGTTACAATCTCACAAAAGCTCACAAATAAAGCCTAAACTAAATCTCTCAACTTGCTCACTAGTTCTCCCTCTTAATATGCTCAATACAATCTCAAATCTCCGATATTAAATCCTAGAAAAACGTGTTTGATTATATATCAAACAACAATCCCAAACAGAGCAAGCCTAGACCCAGACCCAACACATGTTGAGTGTCACGCCAGTCGCGGTCGACCGTGACTAACGACAGAAACTAAAAATCCATTACAGGGTCTCGCAGTCGACCGTCGCGCCAACCGACGCGGTTGACCGCCAAAAGTCCAGAGTCTTTTCCCTGTGCTGTGCACGTTTGTGGTCAACCGCCGCGCCACTTGCGGTCGACCGTCAAACTTCCAAATACCTATTAGCTTCATTTTTCCTGAAAACTTCACTAGTTTCTAGTGAAATTTATAGAGTTTTTTTTTAATATTTTATTCTTAACTTGTAGCATTCAAGTTCACCAAGAGTTATCGAACAAGCTCGAACTGGAAGTTGTATTTTTGTCACTTACACTTTTAATAATTTATAAAAAAGAAAGCTTTTATAAACAGACTCCTCTTCCTCGTGGTCTCAAACTTAAAACAGTAACGGATCCTCATGGTCTGAAGCTATAAACAAAAGCAGGTTTGTCTCATTTTTCATCCACACACGAGAAAACGGACGAGAAATAAAATCATTTTTGGCTCAGCATAATGCAAAGAATTATAAAAACCTCAATCTAACTTGCTTTTAGCCAATTAATGGGCTCCCCCCCTCCTCTGGTTGTTCTCCAATGTGATCGTATTAATTTTTGAACAATGAAAATGACATATCAAAACAAAAAAGCTGCAACCATGCATGCTTTTGATACCCTTCAATGGATTGCCGAAACACTTCAATGCTTGAATATTTCCCTCAATGAAAACTAATAAATTACGGACTATTTAAACCAATAGAAATTCTTGAATATTGTATTGGAAATTGGGATCTAAAAAGTCTGTATAAAGAATTCAAAATTCTTACAGCAGGTTGCAGGCAAAATTTAATAATTGAACCTACTTATCTGTATTTTGATATCTGGTGCATGATTTGATGTTTCAGGACCTTATATATATATATATATATATATCTAAGCGAGAACCTCTCTGATCGATGTAGAATTAATTAGATCCCCAAAGTCTAGCTATTAATTGGTCATACAGTATTGTATCAGATCCAAGCAAGAATTGAGACCCATTTCCACTGTTTTCTTGGTTGGAAATATACGAAGCCTCCATTAACTGTTTACTGTAAATATTTACGCCTCTTCGAGACCTTTGCTTTAAGGTTCTGTCCCTTACCTTGTTTTGTTTTGTTCCTTGCTTTCTTTAGGCCGGTGGTTATGGGCATTTGTCTCGGCTACAAATGGAAGAAGTCCAGGGCCTTAAGAACTCCACCTTTTTCAAAAGCTTTTTCCGAGAGGTAGCGGCTTGCTTTTGCTTTTATTGGTATTCTGTTTTAATTTCTACGGAGAGTTTTATTAACACCCTTTGTTTAATGCTGTTAGATTTGTACCAGAAATTGTCAGTATCTACAGGTGCCATTTGTTTAATGTTGTTAGATATGTACCAATCATGTACCAGTCAACTTTATGCTTGATATTCCGATTTAGGATAATAACCAAATTTTGTTTTAAAGAATTGATTGCGGCCCGGCCCGTGATTAATTAATTATGGTATGATTATTAGGCAAGCATGTCTTTCTCAATCAACTTTCAATTTTTTTTTTTTTTGGCTATACATATATAAACGATGACTGACTCCAAAATGTTGAGTAAGAACTTTCTACCAGAAGCCAGTTTGCTCTGTCATTATGAGGAAACCTATTGAACATGAAAGTGTATCTTGCTACCCTAAAACCTACTCATACTCATGAAATCATGAGCTGTGTGACCCGTTCCATGGAAAAAACTGACTCATCTCTTTCCTTCTTCTTTGAAAGTGACTCATGAATCACATTAATGTTACAAGATCTATCCGATTGAATTTACTTTTTTTTGGGGCCCTTTTAGTCCAATAAAAACAGAACTAAATGAGATAACGCTTAGAAACTCTAACGTGATATTTTAAATCATTAAGGTCTTACAGTTATTATTGGATTCAGATCTTCTTCATTATCAATAATAATAATAATAATGGAGGGACCACTACTTCATCATAACGAATGATTAATATCTAGCGAATGACTATGATTTTCTTTGAAGTGCAAATTAGTAATGAGTATAATACGTGGGGTTCAACGAATGTTAGATTTAAAATATATCACAATTACTCACTAGATAATTAATTATTAAGAGGGGATCCAAATTCGTTATTATTTCTTGTCTATTGAGTAGTCTTAATATAGCCAAAAACGCAATTCTATTCGAAGTAAAGTGGCAATATTTCTGGCTGAAAACCATCATAGAGGCTCAATAGATTACCGGAAATTAATAATTATTCTAAGGGCATAATTGGGTTAAATCGTTAGTTTAAGAACTTTTTGTGGATGTCATGTAAACGTTAGAGGTTGATGAGACTTTCGACATTTTATTTAAGGTTTCTAAAAGGCATCAAGCACATAATTAAGATAATAACATGATAAATAAAACTTTGATATTTATAATTATACACTGAAAACTAGCTACTTGAGAGACATATTAATCCTAAACTTGTTTAAAAACTAACACTAATTACATCAAACCAAATCTCCTCAAAAGCCTTGACGATCACATCATGATACTCATTAGAGTTCAAGGACAAGTAGCATGCAAGAAGCTCCTCAAGATCCCTCGACGCCTTCAGGTTGTTCTCGACGATCATCTCCATCATCGACTCTCGAAAATCCCGCTTCGGGTCCGACGAGTTCTTCATCACCGCGAAGCTCTCCGAAACCGACCCTTTCCTCTGCCTGCTCTTCTGCTCGGCAATCCTCACTCTCTTGGCCATCGAGACCCTCGGAGAATTAACACGCGTACGCAGCGACGACGACTTCTTCTCCTTCTTCTTCTTCTTCTTCTCCTTCACTTCTTCTTCTTCTTCTTCTTCTCTAGGCTTTGGCAGCGGTGTTGTTATAATGGGAGGGAGCTCGAAAACGATGTCGGTTGGGCTCGGGACTGGGATTGGGCTTATGGGCTTTTTTCGGGGTTTTTGGATGGATTTTCTTGGTGAGTCTAAGGGGAAGTGGGTGTCTAGGGCTCTAGGGTGGAGGGGGGAGTTTGAGGGGAAGTAGTAGGAGGCTCTGCTCGGGATGAGTTGGGTAGGGGAGGGCTGGGGGTGGGTTTTCTTGGTAGGGGTTTGGGTTGATGGGCTCGTACATGGTTTTCTATTGATCATAGGCTTGTTCATCTCCCTCAGCTTGTAGAACCAAGCATTGGGCATCATCTCTTGTAGCCTAAACCTATGGTTGCCCATCCCAAGGGATCAAGAGGGGAGGAGAGAGTTTAGAGAGAGGGGAGGGGGGGAGAGAGAGGGGAGGGGGGGAGAGAGAGAGAGAGAGAGAGTGTGTGAAGAGGAGAGGAGATAAATAGAGGAGGAGGGGGACAGTCATTGAGGAGATGGTGGGGTCCAAATTGGAATGGACAAAGGAAGAGAAGGAAAGAAACAAGTGAGTGGATTGAAGGTGGGGCCTAGACAAAGGTGGTTGGGGGTGTTTTGCTCCTCTCTTGCTCCTAACAACAATCTTTTAACACTTAATTAACACATTTTTTTAATAGAATCAGGTTATACAGTCATTGTGATTCTATGAGGGATTTTTTTTTTTAACCTTGATTTCATTGGAAAATGTTCACATATAACATGTACTATCCATAATTCAGTTTTACTTGCTACATTTTGTGTTTCTAAGGACCATGCATGTACTCGCACTTTAATTATCCACTTTATTTGTTTCCACAAAGTTATAGTTTTCTCCTATATATGCTATTTTACAATAATCTCTTTCAATATAGTTTGGCTAAGGTCATCATCTATCTAAAAAAATCAACAACTCTGAGTGGGATTGGATTAGAGTGGATGGTATCGCAATTAGGGAGCACTAGCGCTTGTTTAATAAGTGATAAGTGAAAAAGTCTTGAGTGTTAAGTCTATGAAGAATCATTAGCATTAGTTTTTTATATTATAAAATACGGGTGTTGGGAGAAGATAGAGACTTAATGTACCTCCACCTAACCAGAGCTTTGATTTTTGTTAGGCTTTGCCATTGTATAAAGAAACACATGTAGATCTTGGTTTCTGACATTGTTTCTTTCCTCGAAGGCAAATGAGAAAGGCATGTGCTCAGTTCGTGCAGATAGAATCACTTGAAATTGACAAAATTTAGTTTGTTACAGTCTATACGTCTTGACTGTAATCTGACATTAAATACGTACAGACGGTAAAATGCGATTCACGTTTCTTCTTCATCTTATCTCTTGCTAGATGTTCAAGTAAGCAAGTAATCTTGTCTTAAGACGTTACTTTGATTACACATATAAATTAACAAAGAAATAATTAATCTTACTATATATTATATTTGTTAGGGTGCGTTAAACTGGACTAGGATGGAACTTAGATCTAGTTTTGGATGTTTTTATGGTTGGCAAAGAATTGCTGCTTTATGGTTCTAGTACTGAGAGCCATAATCATCTCTTTTTTGAATGCACAATGTCAAATTGTGTTTGGAATGGTATAATTGAGTGGCTTAAATTCAAATGGAGGTGTTGTGAATGGTCTTTCCTCTTGAATTGGTACAGTTCCAGATTGAGGGGTAGTGGGTTTAAGCAAAAAATAAAAAGGATGATATTAGCTGCTATAGTCTACAATATTTGGAGAGAAAAAAATACCAGAATCTTCAAGATGGAGAATAGATCAGCTGATAGTTTGATCAAAAACATAAAGTTGGATATCCTCACCTCTATATTGAACAAATCCATGTCGGGTGAATTCAGAGGATGAGTTCTCTCCTTGTAGAGCTCAAATATATTGAACAAGTCACTGTCGGCTGAATGCAGAGTATGAATTAGATTCTCTCTTTGTAGAATTTCATGTTGTGGAGGTTAGTTCTTAGAGGGATTAAAGGAGGAACATGTTTTTGTTTGCTCGAGTATAGGTTCTACTGTGTGTTTCATGTACAGCTTTTACCGAATTGTTGTATTTTTTTGAAATTTTTCGAGCTCTAGTTTTGTGAGCTGCAAGGTGTTATCTCACATTTGCCAGTGAGATTCTTGATGTATATACCTTTTACATTTTGGAAATGAATAAATTTTTTCATTTACCAAAAAAAAAAAGAATTGTTCTGAAAGTTCTTGGGGGTTTAGTGTAATTTACCCAAAAAAATATCAAAAGACATTAATTTCAAAAGTTATTGGGGTTTTAATATAATTTACCCAAAACTTATTAGGTGTTTTCTATAAAGTTGTTAGGGTTTAGTGCAATTTTTAAAGTTATTGGGGGCTTACTACAGATCGTTGAAAGGTCTTGGAAGTTTAGGAAAATTTACCCAAGAAGTTTTGAGTGGCAGTCAAACAACAGTTTTATAGTTTTTGACTATAATTCAAACCCATCAATACGGCCCATTTAATAGGAGTCAAGTTTGAAAGCTAAGAATTGATTTATTTCTTTTATCTATAGTATTATTAAGCCCGATTGTTGCTGCTGCGGTATTATTTATTGAGTTATATTTATCCTCAAATTCATGATATAATTTTCATATATAGCTATCTATATATAAAAACTTTAACAATAAATTCTTTTACTACTATTTATAGAATGAATCTTTAAACCAGTTAACAAAATAATATACTACTTAGAAAGTTTTATCATTTTTTTTTGATAGAATCATAAAAGATATATACTTTTAAAATATCTGACAAAAGGTTAAAATCGCCATCTACAAGAACAAAAAAAAATGAACAATGTTGTAAAAAAATGGTTGTGAACCCAAAAATTCACTTCGACTTGAACAGTGCATAAATGGCACTGTAGCCAATTTACTGTAGGTAAACAGCAACACAGTGTGAACTTGGTCTGAGAAATATATTACTGTAACACGGAGAGAAATTTAAAGTACTCTGAACTATATGTACTGTGAATAGTGATTTTTTGGTATAAACAGTGATTTTAAGTTCGAAGTATAGTAGATAGCTTTGATAAGTATAAAGAAAGCTAAACAGTTAATTTTTGGTGAAAAGAACTAACCCCATCGATCTGCCGACAAGTGATTATACTAGCGTTCTCTTGTATGTTCCTTTTTCATAAAATAATACTCTTATATATGTTCGTTGATGGAACAGAAGAAAACATAAGATATCATTAAGTTTAAGATCTGTTCATTAAGATAGCGTTCATTAGAGCAAGTCCAGCGAGCTTCCAGTTGGAAGTCCTAGTCAGCAAGCTCTCAAGAGCTCTCAAGCATTTTGGTATAAAAAATTATAAAAATAGGCCTTGGGAGCATCTCCTTATTTTATGGATGTAGGCTGTCTAAAAATCACAATGGATAGCTGATCCCTATCAAGCTCCGACAATGGAAGTCACAATCAGACGACTTTCTAATCACTGTATTCGCAATTCTACAATCGCTACAAACACGGCCTCATTTCTGAGATGATTGATCTTGATGGTTGTGACAACAGCATGACTAATATTATATTAGCAACTATTAGAGATGCTGATGAGCAGTGTAATGATTTCAGAAATAAAAGGTTGGACGTAGTTGGTGAGTTGTTTGGTAGAGAGCTGTGGGCAAATATTCATCTAAAAACACTATGGATGTTGATTCCCGTCAAGTTCCAAAAACGAAAGCTACAATCAAATAGCTTTCACGCCGACAATCGAAAGCTGCAAATGGAGGACCTTTCACATAGATCGAGAAGAGTTACAATTCAACGACACTTCCGACAACTGATGAAAACTCTATTCAGCAGTCTTCACAATCTGTAGTGAAAGTTACAATCTGACGACTTTCACACTCCACAACAGCTAAAGCTAGGATTACTGAACAACGGTCCTTGCAACGCTTTACAGAAGAAGTTACAAGTCAACTAGCTCCTTCTAAAACACGGATGTCATCCCCGCGTTACAATTCTGGAAGTGCAGGCGACCCCAGCGTTTCCAAGCACAAGCTAAACGTGAGCGACCCTCGCGTTCGTAGGGGTTCAACCAACACCGACCCCCGCGTTCCCAAACTATAACAAATCAAAACGCGAGCGACCCTCGCGTTCATCAATGTTCAGCCAACACCCAACTTCGCGTCTCAATTCTAAGACACGAAGTTGGGGTTCTGAACGCCAGATTGGGCGTTTGACTCGTTCAAACACGAGTCGAACGGTTTTAGAACTGTTTTCCCCACGATCTAAGGAAATCACGCCCACTTAGGAACGGATTTAGAGGGCAGTTACAACCCCTGATCCCCCTATAAAAACTCAACAAACTCAACTGAGTTAAGGGCTGGCTTTTTGGAACGGAAGAGTTGGCAGCATGTTGGATTTTCAGGATCTCAACCACTCAGGTTTGGTGATTCGACAGCAGCAGCAGTAAAATCCTTGGAGATAGGATTTTTGAATCAAATTCAGGAGATCAAATCTGAGAGGATTCTTCAACAACAGAATACCAGCTTGGCCATTAACCGAATTTTCGGTTCTAACAACTCTATTAACAGAGTTCTAACTCGTTCAGAGTTCTTAAACTCATTCAGAGTTATCCATTAAACTTTCCACAGAAGTTCATCGTTCCTACGAGATAGAAGACGGTCGGATCATCAACAGAGAGCAAATTCGACGCGAGCAATCGAAGGAGGCATTCCATCGCTACCGAGAAGAACCCAGTTTTAAACAAAGAAGAGAATCAAATTCGTTCTCTTCTCTTTTGTAATCAAATTGTAATCAGAATCAAAGGAATACAAGTCAATTTTCTTTGTTCTCTTCTTTGCAATTTTTCCAACAAACACCCAGATATAACCCTCTTTTGGTGGCGCAGTCCGACGTCCACCTCATGGGAACCACTGTAGAAACTCTCGTCGTGGAGTTTGATCAAGCTAAATATGAGGAAGCCTTATCCTCTGGATCGTTTAGCCCCAAGGCTAAGCATAGTGTCCGCAAGATCTCCAAGGAGATCAATTCTGTTGTTGAAGTGCCGAAGAAAGCCATCTCCTTCGGCCAGGAACTCAAACTAGCTCTGCTAGTTGAAGATCCCACCTCCGCGTCAGCCGGACATATCTCCTTCGGCCAGGAACTCAAACTAGCTCTGCTAGTTGAAGATCCCACCTCCGCGTCAGCCGGACATACTTCGGGCCACAAACGGCCTCTGGAGGAGACGAGTTCCATGAGAGTCAACGACGCTGCTGCTAAGGCTTTGAAGCAAGCCAAGAAGAACGCCGCTCGCAGATGAAGAAGATCCATACGTCGAGCACACTTACGTGAAAGCCGAATGTTGGCCCAACGCGAGGACTGCGTTTCTGAAAATTCACCCGAACCTAGCGTTCCCAAGGAAGAACGCT